TCCCCCCCCCCCCCAAACATACCACCTGCTTTTAGGTGCTACCGAATACTAAAACCTCACGAAGATGGAGATTAATAAATAACACCCAAGACTCGGCCAGACGCGCATTTATCGACCAATTTTGGGAAATTGTGCAGGAATAAGTCGCTGAAGGAAACCACGCAGTGCCGTAAAATAACCTTAAAGTTGATATAATGGCAGTGAACGGGCTTCCGAGCAGGTGAAATACCTTGGCATACCGTATGGATGCTGAACTAATTAGCTGGCAACCCACTGCCCCTACCAAGGGCATTATGAGAATAATAAGACACAATTGAGTCATTCACAAAGGAGCTGACGCTTAAATTACAGTACGAAGGATATGAAATGAGGTAATAGGATATAATGAGCATACAAGGGGGATATGGTACAGCCACAGGTGGAAATAGAAGTTAGTAATGCATACAAGTCAACAGGGAATCAGCGGACTAGGGTTGGAATGTTCTCACGAGTCTGCACATTGGTTCAGGCACGTAGTGGGCACGAACTACCAGGTTAATACAACTAGCGCCACCAGTGCACAAAAAAGAAGAAAAAGGCCCGACCAAAACTGATGGTTGAGTTTGGGTGCCAAAATATTTGCAACTAGAACTAAGACTTGAGAACCTTTGACAGCCAGTCCATTCCCTCATAGAGACCTTCACCCGTTGTTGCACAGGAACTCTGAATGTACCACTAAAAAAAAAAAACAAGAAAAAGTGCTGACAAAACGGGTTGGAGATCACATTAGAACAAGGCGATCGACAAGAAACTAATGCCAAGCGGCAGAGCCAAAGAAACAGTTGAAGACAGCCGCTTGTACTGCGCCTTAAAGCAAGTGATAGCCTCGCTTGTCCATATAATTCTTTACTGTGTTTAAGTGGAACGTTTAGCCCGATGTGGGTGGTTAAGAGGTAAGCCGCCAAATGTAGTGAATCGAATGACGATCTCCATTATGGCATCAAAAAAGCAAGATACTGTATAAGCCTGAAATTTATTACAACGCTGAAAAAACATGACATGACAGAGCTAGCCATAAGCTATAGATCTTCAAGTAATTTTTCAAAGAATCGCAATATTGGATTGAGAAACGAGAAGGGAAATGTAAAGCATGTTGAGGTCAGTAATGTGTCATTAACCAAGACGGAAGAAGGTAACACAGCATAACACTCGTCTTAACAGTAGGCTATAGTTAAAAACAGTGGGGTTGAAAATGGCGTCCACCGAATTCTACTACATCAAAATTAGGCAAACTATGGAATGACCTACTTCCCGACCACGCAGGGTGTGCAACCTCAATTTGTCAGTGACCTCAGTTGTGGGCATAGCGTTTGGTAGGTCCTGTTTGTTAGCGAAGACGAGGACAGCGGCATTGGCAAGATCCTCTTCGGATAGCATCTTCTGAAGCTCCTCTGCAGCCTCTCCGATCCGGTCACGGTCATTACTATCCACAACGAAGATAAGTCCCTGAGTGTTTTGGAAATAATGTCGCCAAAGAGGGCGAATCTTGTCCTGTCCACCCACATCCCAAACGGTAAAGTTGAGATTATGGTACTCGACGGACTCAACATTGAATCCGATTGTAGGAATAGTAGTAACGACCTCACCCAGTTTCAGTTTGTAAAGAATAGTTGTTTTTCCCGCAGCATCAAGTCCGACTAAAATTGTAATGGGATATATCGTCACAACCAACTTCAGAAGGGCAAATTTATGAGGATTTTTGCTATCAATGATGTCTTCAGATCGTAGCGATGCATCTAATCGTTTGCATGCTGGATTAAAAGTACCTTCTAATCACTGGAAACAAACAAGCACACAACTTTCGAGCACCAATACCGTATTTAAATAAAAAGCGAAACCACGATTTAACCAAAAATAAGGCACATTGGAAGGCGTGACATCGACATACCCATTAAAATGCGAACATTCTTCTTCCCAAAAAATTGATTAAAGAGAGAGGATATTGTCAATCCCATTATTAACTAAATTTGATTCAAATTCAGCTAGAAAACGGCTAGGAACCAACGCCACGTCAAGCCGCCGCGACCTGGAAACTATTCGTAAAGTCCGCTGGAAAGTGAGAATCGAAAAGCCGTTACAAACAGTTTAATCAGGTTCATTCAAATTATGCAAAATACATGCGAACCATGACCTACACAGGTTTTACTTTATATTTACATTAGCAATCTAATTTCGTTTTCTTTAATGTAAATGTATGTTTGTCCAATAAAGAAAACTTTATGCCACCCGTGTAGCTCTCCAGATAACTGGTTACAAATTTTGCCTTCTTTTGCAGTAAAATCAGCTAATAAAATAAATGTCTTTTAATGTTTTTGGGCAGTTTTAATTATATTTAAATCTCACTAAATATTTACAAAAAAATTCTGTTTCGGAAGATTTGGTATTCTTCCATCTAAAAAACCTAATACCACACGCCGCATGGAATTTATAAAAATGCTACGTATATTTAATAAATCTAGGGACTGCAAGTAGTACGTACTTTTTGTTTCTGGCTTTTTAAACATTTTTGATGATATTAACGAGAATCAACGGATAATGTTTGTGGTTCTGTGCAGTGGGCAAGTATGTCCTGGAAAAGCTTAGCTTAAAAATAAAGTCTTTGCAATTAAATTTCCATGAAGTCTCCCAGGCTAATATCCTTGTATGAGTATAGGCATTTGCCATCCAAATAGACGTGAGGTTCGATAATTCTCCAAATTTTTCAAATTAAACCAAGATTACTTTTCTGGAAGTACGGGTATCTGTCCTTTTGCAAATTGATATTATCCTTTTTATTATTTGAAGTTGTCTTTATGTTCTTTGTCATTTTTCGTGATTTAAAGTTCAACAATTTTCGGCCGTGGATGCAATTTAAAATATTAACATTCCGATTTTCAATAACTGCTGTATTATTTAACTCTCGATTTGTTCGCATTTTCTATTACACGAAAATCGTGTCATAGCGAAATATCACATTGTAAGGCTGATAGTGAAAACTAAGTTTTGTTAAATAGACTAAGTACAGAAGCGTATAATACTTCGATCCACACACCGATAATTTTCGTAACAGATGCAGGGATTTTTTTTGATAAAAATCCAGTTTATACCTTCAATTTATGCAAAATAATTTGCAAGAAGTTAAATTTTAAGCAAAAGTTCCAACTCTAGAATGAGTAGTGAATTTATGAGCCAAATATCTCTAAAAATCCCTTTGCAACTACCAACAATATGAAATTTGTAAAAGGTTTTTAGCATACCACAGATCCTAGAGAAAATAATTAAAATTTTGACCACGTTTTTAGTGAACTAGAGGCTTTTTGAGTTTGATAACTAATGAAGAATCGATGTGATAAAAGAGGAAGTGATAACGCATTCAACTTTCCTTAGAATAAATTTGGTTTACCTCAAATCTCATCTTTGAATCACAATTATTCACTTGAGCCGATACCGTTCATTCGCTAGTCTTTACTTATGCCTGCATTTCTTCTACACTAAAAATAAATGTCTCCATCAAATGTATCAATTAAATTGCGTTCAGCTTCTGTCCTTAGCCGTTGTAATAATGCCATAATTTTACTAAAGCCATTTTTATTCAAAACTGGCAAGGTTTCATGTTTGAAAATTGTGTAATCGATTTAATTCATAAGTAATTTGAGAATCATAATCAGTGTTTCTTCATTCCTTTGGTATTTTTACTTCACTGTCAGGTTAATTTTGATCATTTTCGTGGTTTAAAATCTTAGCGTTTTTCTGAATTTTTAAATTCCTATTAATTTGAATTCACACTTTCATGTTCGAGAGATACATCGATTCCTTTTAATATTGAAAATATCGGTTGTAATAATAAGTGGCTATCGTCTGACTGTCCATCAGGAATACTCTTACCACCAGCGTCGGCTTTCACTCGACACTGAAACGAAATACAGAACCTAAACGTAGCGTACATAATATCGATTAATTTATTCCTGACTCATATCATGGAAACCAGACCCACTTTTAACGTGTAGCTGTAATATCATATTTTTTTCCGATTAGAAACACGCGGCACAGTAAAACAACATACTAGTTTGAAGAGACTAAAAGTATGGTACATTACTCTGTCGGCCTAACAGTATTTTAGGGAACTATTTCTACACCTCAATGGTGAACCTCCAACAAATTGACGCAAAGAAGAACAAAGTTTTAGTAATTATTACCTTTGCCATGTTAGATGAGAATTTAAGTATGAATGTTTGACAACATTAAAGTTCTCTTTGAGATGCAATTTATTCGCTTCATAGCGTAATTCTTAAAATGAAACCTAATTTTGTAGCCGACTACTTTGCATGAGGATGTCGCTATATTTGCCAAGTTATGAGAACGTTGTTAAGCTCTGGTAAATAATTTCCAATTGGCGTAATTGCGCACCCGGCTTAATGCTTTCAATTAGATGTTAGGGAACCCATTTTAGTGCAAACGTCACAATTCATAAAAGTCAACGTTGTTGCCTGTGTGAAAAACATGACGACAAAAGATGACTTTATCTTAATTCGCACATAATAAAACGCACACAAGTTGGGCGTTCTGTACAAAGGTAGGAAGCGTGGGTACTAATGTGCTTAAGTCGGAATTGTTCCGTCACAAAAATCTTATAAGTTAATTGCTTGGGTAATTTTGCCTACAGCACACAAGATTTAAATTCACAATCTAAATAACTGCAACATTCACAAACTCCCCTTAGGCGTTTTTCAGCTTTCACTTCCCTCACTAATTCCAAGACGTTTGCCTCGCTTTTGCTAAACACGATTCGCCTACTCCATTTTTACTGTAGCTAACATGGTCTCAGCATTTATTTGTTCATGAATGTTTTAATGACTTGCCTCTTTCCTCTTTCTGCATGAAAAAAATTCTATTTGGAAATTAATACTTAAGCCCTGATCTTGTTGATCCAGTAACACTGAATGTCGTGGAAAACTGAGAATAAGGCTATTTACTGCGATATCATGACGGATCTTCATTACCTTTAATCAGTACTGAAATTAACGCTAGCGATGCTTTCAGTTAGCTCATTTAGGATTAGACGTTATTATAGCGGCGTTTGTTGATGAAAGGCTCTAGGCATTCGTTGAGGCCTACTTATG